CAAATACCAGAAACGGTTAAAATATGTAATTACATGAGAAAATAGCATTTTGAAGATACTAAAGTGTCTTCCTTCCTCGCTCGCTGACAATATTTTGACAGCAAGGCAAATAAGGGCAACGAGAGGCCCGAATATCCTCATATTCGTGTATCAAGGTCATGATCGAATATATCACTTTATATTTATGTACATTCGGTGGCAAGGTGCCCGCATACAGTACTTTAAATAGTTTCTAGTGTGTGGATTACAAACTATTTTTTTACCAGTTTGAAAAGGTCTTCTCCTTTTTATTTTTAAATGTGCCCATACGTGTGTGCATAGCACTTGAAGAGAGCCAGAGCAAAATTAATAGTCTGTAAAGACTTTGGGATTTGGGAGAAAATTTTCATTTCTTAAGAGGGTACCGTGACTAACAAAAAGTTAAAATAACGCTGCTCCAGAGAAATGTATTACTATGCATTTTGAAAAGCGCTGGATTATTAACTAAAACTTACATCCTTCGTGGAAAAAAGCAACTGCACTGGCGTTGCATGAATTATAATAAAAGGGAAATGTGTAGTAATGAGGAAGACAACGTGCCATAGTATTTGAAAGAATATGGGTTCATGCAGGAGATCTTATGGGCTCGTAGCCATCTCTCAATGTTTCAGATCGTCTTTTGCTATTAAATCCTGATTGTCCCCGGGGGTAGTTGTCCTCGGGGGGTAATTGTCATCGGGGATAATTGTCCTCAGGGGGTAATTATCATCGGGGGGTAGTTGTCCTAGGGGGTAACTGTCCTCGGGGGTAGTTGTCCTCGGGGGTAATTGTCCTCGGGAGGTAATTGTCCTCGGGGGGTAATTGTCCTCGGGGGGTAATTGTCCTCGGGGGGGTAATTCTCCGGGGGGTAATTTTCCGGGGGTAATTGTCCTTGGGGGGTAGTTGTCCTCGGGGGGTGAATCTCCGGGGGTAATATTCCAGGGGGTAATTGTCCTTTGGGGGTAGTTTTCCGGGGGGTAATTTTCCGGGGGGTGATTGTCCAGGGGGTAATTGTCCTAGAACCGACGCTAAGTGACTGGTAGGTGGCTGCTACAAACCCGGTGCACACGTTCGAGACCCGGTATGGGCCCGGTATGGAAACGGCCAAAATTTTCAACAAAAGTCAATCTGGGCGGTGAAGACGGTAGAAGCACGTTCAACACCCGGTATGCGCCCGGTGAGAACGGTCAGAAGATGGCAACGAAACGGTGAAAAGATTAATTTTATGAATTTTTTTTTGCGGCTAGGGACAAGTTCGCTCAAAACCCAACGTTCTGGACTCTGTTTTTTTTTTAATAGCCCGGCAGGTGGACGGTAGGCCCACACGGCAGAGTGTGAGAGCTCCATAAAAGCCCTTCAGTTATGTATTTCTTATGTATTTCTTTGTCTTTCTTTCTCCATATCCTCTGCACTCTCCTTATGTATTTTTTTTTGTTTTCCCTTTTCTATTACCTTCCCTTCCCTGGGTATACGTGCTTGCACATGTACTATATATGGCTAAACAGTTTTGTAAAAAAAAAAACATATGCGCGAACGGTTAAGGAGTAAGAAGAAGGCAAAAAGAGAACAAAGACGGCATCCATGGAAGCCATGTGAGAGTGTCCACTTTTTTCGCTTTTACTTTCACCCTTGCATTCTTTCCTGAATCAGAGTTTTCTCACACCTTGTAGACTCGTGCAGGTTATGATCTTGTGGGTGTGTGTGTGTGTGTGTGTGTGTGTGTGTGTGTGTGTGTGCGTGTGTGTGCGTGTAACGAAATAACGTATACAATAGCTTGGCAATTCTCATGGTTATGAGATACAATGTGAAAGGAAATGAGAGAATAATGGTCGCGTAGCTTAAATCAAAGTTCCCCATTGCAGTCCTCTCTTTTTGGATATTTTTGCATTTTGTTTTCGTAAGAGGTGTAGCGCCAGAAGAGAGAAGAGGAAGAAGAAAAGAAACGGGTGAAGAAGGAGATCGGGGGGGGGGCGAAAGGGCCTTGCCTCCCAGGCTGTTGCACCCCCCCCCCCCCCCCATCAAAAAATAAGAGAGAAGGAAGGAAAGGGAAAGGGTAAGAGGAGATAAAGGGAAGGAAAAAGAGGAAGAAGAAAAGAAAAGAAAGGGGATATCATTTGCAATTTTCGCGCCGGTGGATCGAGGAGGGGCAAAAGGCCCTTACCTCCCCCGCCCCCGCTATAACAAAGAGAGAAAGAAGGAAAAGGGAAAGAGGAGAGCTAAAAGGGAACAAAAAAGAGGAAGAGGAAAAGAAAGGGTGAAAAGAACGGGAGATCAGTTCCGGTTAATCCCGCCAACAACGTGTGGATTAGGGTGGGGGCCGAAAAGGCCCTTGCCCCCACCCCACCCCCTCGGCAAACCTTAAGGAGGAAAGAAAGGGAAAGAAGAAAAGGGGGCACTGGCGTACTGATAGGGGGGGGGGCTTGGGGAATTCAAATTCAAACGTGGTTTATTTCTAATTCCATAACGGTGGCTTGCAAATAATGCTGAATTCTTTCCGAGATTTTTCCTCAGTTTTTGGTAAATTTTACTTTTGTATGCGTTTGTTGGAAAATGAAAATGTTGGAAAATTCCTAAATTTACAGCCAGGCAAGAAATATGAATCTTGAGAAAAGTTAGGGACCGGGGATCGGCTGGAATCGCAAGCCTCGAGCTCCCCCCCCCCCCCCCTCCACTTTTTTTTAAAAGGTATAGTAAAGAGAAATAGAAATAAAGAGAGCAAGAAAGAAAAAATAGTTAACTAGCTGCTCATCTGACCGAAATTAAACGCCTAAAAACCCCTGAGCTTCCGGGGTTTCGTCCCTTGCACCCCGCCTAGGGCCCTAGACTCCCCTGGATGCTAATCTGACGGAAATATAATGCCTATAACCCCTGTTTTCTGGGGGCTTCGCCCGCTGGACCTCACGCTAATTAGTGTCCTGCCTGTGTCACAAATAAGGTATATAAATATGTTCATCTGACCGTAATCAAATGCCTAAATGCTGAATTAAGACAAGGATTAAGAGTCGAGAACGGTACAACGAATCGTTTTCTTTCGTCAATGATTTAATGGAACGTAAAAGTTTCCGGGAAGGGAAAATTGCATTCAAACGAGGATAATTTTCGACAACGCTATAACGAATCGTCTTCTTTCACTAATAGTTTAATGAAACGTCAAAGCTTCCGCGCTGCGCGGAGGGGGGGGGGCTGAATTTAGACAAGGATTAAGAGTCGAGAACGGTACAACGAATTGTCTTCTTTCTCTAATACTTTGATGAAACGTCATATAGCTTCCGCACTTTGCAGAGGAGGGAGGGGGAAACTCGCCCCTCCCTAGTCATCCCCCTGCATTACGTCACTGCTGGTCACCATTACGTACCAATATTTGGCTCGCATAATTTCAAATTTGGCCCCCCCCCCCCTAAGAAATCCTGGATCCGCGCCTGGTATTGCAATATCTACCAAGGGCGGATCGCATTTGAAACATAATAATTCTATTTTTGTGGTCGTATCAGCTTCCTGGTCGTAAATAAATGTTCCTGCTTATATTAATTGTTGAGTGTGAATATTATGACTTTGCATACAGTTTTAGAAACTCGGACAACCAGTCCCGACTAGCACTCGTGCTAACTTTTGGTTCTCCTTTAACAACATTTTATTTTGTTTAAGTATATCCTTTATTTGAATAACAATTGGAACTCTGTGAATTTCAATTCCAGCCACACTTTTATGTATCTTTAAGGAATCCAATCAAATCTCTATCTATTATGAAGTTATGGCTAACTCACAGGACCTGTGGTTTGATATGACACGATATATGATTAATTTTGTACATAATGGTTCAACTATGGATATTTTCTTTTTCTTTGTAACTCATGTATTATGTATACGACATCAACTGTTTAATTGTTGTTATTTTGTTACCCACTTGAATACATTTGTAACATTGTGTTATGTTGTTAATAAATTCAAATTCAACTCATATAGTAATTGTGTAACCGTGGAAGGAGGGGAAGGTTGTGTGCATGGGGTGTACAGATAAGGGTGTAACATATCTGTCAGCAAATTTGGGTGTCACATTATTATACCCCCACCCCCACTCAAAATGTTCTAGCGACGGCCCTGTCTTGATCCTTGCACGTACACTCTCTGTCATCATCTCATACGGACCCCTCCCCCTCTCTCTCTCTCTCTCTCTCTCTCTCTCTCTCTCTCTCTCTCTCTCTTTCATATATTATACATGATATTATGCATGTATATTTCCCCAATATGATCCAGTGTACAGCATAGAGCTACCAGCACTATAATAGTAAACTAAGCTTTACATGTATACGCTATTGAAGATGCTGGTACAAGCAAATAATTAAAGGCTATTGTGCTATCAAATTGGTACATGTTACATATAGGATACCCTGTATTTTCCGCGTACATCATATTTTTTTCTCCCATCTTGTTCGACTTTTTTTTTTTGGGGGGGGGGGGGGGGGCTCAGCGGTATACATTACATAGCGATACATAGCCTCAGTTTGTAAGTCCAATGTTATGGTTGGAATGAGCTTCCATTTGATACGTCAAGCAGTAGGGGCGCATTTCTTACACTCCGTGTCTTATCGCAACTCAATCGAGCAGTCTAATATTGTCTTTCAAGAAAATAAAAATTGTCTTTTGACCTCATTAATGTTGTGGAGAGAACGAAATTGAAAGTAATCTAGTAACCTAACGCGGACGTTACTCACTAGCCGACTTATCGTGTTGTGGTACAAAATTGTTTTAGAGTTTACGGTTGTGTTACCATTGCTCTAGTGGCCTATAATTTAGCTGTGAATTAACAGTAACAACTAGGCCTTGTCTCAAATATGTTAACAACGCCATCCGAATGTCCCTCATCCGCGTCGTCTAATTATGAGACCTTCCTGATTAGGGAAATTTCATTTCCTAGTTACACTGAAAAGAGCGTGCTGATTGTATTCGTGTTTTATGGAAGTTAAAACAACACATCCGTTAAAAAAACGCAATTTCTCTGGCTGGTGTATAAAATACTAAGCGAAAGAAGGGGTAAGTGTCGCATTTGTACCACCAGCTTCCACAATAATTATCAGACATAACAATCTCGGACTGAAACAGGTGTTTCGCAAAATCAGCGCGAGCCGAGGAATTCTATTGGAGTCGCCATCTTTGCCAGGGAAAAATCGCGGGAGTGTCACGGCGGACTGATTATAATACACAAGGACGTCGTCTGCTACGACAGAAAGTTGGACAGCGCGTTGACATTGTTTCATTGAAGCAGGGCATGTGAGTTAGATCAGTCAGTTTCGCGCCCCTCTTATCTGTACCATTCTCAATCCTGTATGTGAATTATACAAAGTTGTCGTTGTATTTGAGGAATCGATGTTTACACTTGACTTGGACAATCTGCTCCAAGTTAGAGAATTCGTTGTTTTGCTATTGTTCAGACCAGTGGAATTTATTTGTTTACTATTGACGCCTTGACGGAAAGGTTTGTGAAATTTGTCTACGATGGCGACGTTAAAGGAAGTGGCCTTGCGCTACTCTCCCTTAGCAAATGAACAAGACAGGGAGATCGGAGAGTCAGGCGAGGTCAACACGGACAACGAGATTGTGGAAAACAAAGGAAAAGCGATGTCGACTGAATCGGTATGTTACTGTCATACAGTTTAACTTTGTTTTCTTCTTTTTTCTATTTATTATTATTATCATTATTATAATTATTAGTAGTAGTAGTAGTCCATTCAATAACCAGTTGGACTCTCGAGCATGGGGCCCTGTGAGTAAAACAGTCATTCACTCGAATCGGAGGGTCACAATGAAAATAGCAAGTAAAACAAAAATTATATTCCATTGTAATTCACGTAATTAAAATAAAAAGTAAAGTTACAGTTGTCTGTGCATTATGAACATAGAACTTTTTTTTCAATTAGGTTTTGAATGATTCAAGAGTGCTTTTTGTTTTTACTTCAGGTGGCTAATTATTATTCCATAATAAAGGGCTGTCGTAGCAGAATGAATGCTTTCGATACTCAGTGCGGCATTTAGGGATTACAAGATCACGTCTGACATATTTTTGTGTATTCTTAATGAGAACTTACCGATATAAAAATATGCGATTCCATGACATTTGCTCCGGCGACAATTGCTCCGCTGTAAATTTCATACACTAATCGAATGGCTAACTTCAACCCTGGATTCAACACTATACCCTACCCTAAACCTAACCCTAAACCTAACATAAAACCCTACTGAAACCCTAACCCTAACCCTACATCTTAGACGAAATAAAGCCCGGAGCAATTGTCGCAGGAGCAAATGTCGTGTCACCAAATATGCCCATCTGTTGCCTCATTTAAAGAATACAAGAACTATTTAATGAAGGAATTCCTATCGTATGTTTAATTTAAATAGCCTGTACTCATTTGTTTATTTATTTACTACCCATTGTTATCTTTTCTCTTTACTTTGTATTATTATCTGAGGACATTGTAGCCCAGCCTTTGAAAGGCCAATGGCCTCTGCTAGCTCCTCCATATTCTTTGTATTATTTATATTTATATATTTGCTTATAAATTATGTATAATGTATTGTTAAATGTTTTTTTTTTACGAGAAATGGAAATAAAATGAACTTGTTTAACTTGAACTTGTTTTAAAAACTTAACTTAATTCATGAAAGAAATTGAAATAATAATCAGCGGATAAACCACGAATACATTTATGGATAAACACACATCGAAACTATATGACACGTTCATTAAAGGGCTTCATTTCAACTGTAAAAAAAAACATTTCTTTCGAGAGTGTATATACAATTAAGAATAATTCTTGCCGCCCTCTTTTGTAACATTGTGATATGTTCAGATTCAATTCAATCTATTGTCCCGAATTTCACAGCAATTGTCCATTTGCGATTGTATCAAGCAATAAATATTGTACAATGATTACAGTGTTTCATTACTACGAAGTGTCGTATTCGTTTCAAGATTGCTATAGGCAGGCAAATTCCTTTTTTGCGTAGAAAGTTAACATGTTCATTACACAATACATATTTTTCAATATACACCATCGTGGATTATAGAGATATCACCATACAGCAATGTGAATTGATTTTCTGTTTACTAACAATGCTAATAAATTTAGTTTTGTCTGTATTTAGATTTAATTTATTATCAACAATCCATTGGTGGAGACATTTTAAATCATTTTGTAATAAGAGGAGCCTGCATACATGATAATACGCCCTTCCGTTAATACCTTAACGATGTCGTTAACGTAAATTATGAATAGTAGGGGCCCTAGTATTGACCCTTGTGATACACCTTGGACGTGGATTCGAGTGGGCTTCTCTGACTACCACATGTTTTATCCTGTTCGCTAAGTATGATTTTTAATCAACACAATGTACTGTACTTCCGCTTCTTCTACTTCTACGACGATACTCAGCAGGATCCATAAGTCAGGATGTAGTGCTGAGGAATAAACTATCTAGTTCTTGGTCTAGATGCTGGGTGGAAGCGCTCCCTTGAAGCCCTCCAGTGAAGTAGCGTCAAGGGTGACCTTCCTGTAGTTTACGTAACATACAGTTGCGCCGCTCCAAAGTTTTGGAATAGCCTATCACTAGACATAAGAAAAACCTCATCTGTTGCTGCCTTCAAAGTTTTGTTGAAGACGCACGTTTTGTAAGGAGTTTTGAATAGTTTTTTATTTTATTTTTTATCGTGTGTTTGTAAAGTAAAGCACTGTCAGGAGTTTTGTTTTTCATCACATCGCAGTAGAGATTATTATAGCAGCTGCACCATATAAAATGATCCAATTATTATTAGCAATATATTATAGACGATTCCCCTGTATCAAATGCAAGTCTTATAGATCAACAAAAAGAACACAGATTATAAACCCTCACCAATGGCGCGTAGCCATAACTCAGTTAATTCCTCAATTAGTGCCGGGGCTTTCGAGTAACAGGGTCTTGATCCGAACTGTATACCTCTCGTAATACACCATTAAGAACTAGATAGTCTTAGAGTTGATTGTGAACATTTCTCTCTAATAATTTACTAATAGCTGGCAGTTTTATATATTAGGGCGATTATTGGTCATGGAATATACTGTCTTGTCAACGAACATTTATTAAAGGTTCGAACATTTAAAGGGTGATGCAGAAGATCATTGGAAATGCATGGCTCAGTTCGATTTATTCTGACTTCGTCAATATAATTATTTTATCGAGAATGCCCCTCCTTATACGCAAGCATATTAATTATATTACTTTTTGTTTCTTTTTGAAAGGCGTTAGAGAGTGCAATTAGGACTACCATTCATTGTTAACAATGTTTAGTTCGTATAGTCGTCTCATAAAACTCAATTATCTCAGAACTCTGAACACATCCTTCTTGCCAATAATTGACTAATCTCTTGAAATTTCCTGTTTTGCTCTTCTGTCTCTAATAGAATTCCCCTCTTTCGGCAAAGATAGCTCCTCCTAAAGTCTTTGTATTGTGAATAATGGAAGCTACATAATCAGATAATGGTGCTGAGAAAAGCAACACCTTTTTTTTCCTGGGCGTCGGTAATTTGGGCGGGGCATGCAGGGAGGGCGGGGGGGGGGGGCTAGGTGCGGTGACGTCCTGTTTCTCAAATCTAGAAAGGTGTATTACTTTCTACTAGAAAATTCTATCTCCCGATAAAAACTTGCAACTGTCGTGTTCGAATAGTGAAGAACCCCTCTCCCTTGTGACAAGAGCCTCCTGTTCTCACCCGATGTACCATAGTGATTTTCAGGTCTTTATAATTATCCACTCCGTACTGGTCAATGCTTTTCATTTTCGTTTATTTTGCACTAGGCTAGGCAATCCATCCCTTGTAAAATGTTCATAGTTATAAAGGATTTTTATGTATTGCAAAAGTTTGAATGAAATCGGAACAATAAAGAGAAAGTTGGGAGTGTTTGATATAATAATAAGATCACTAGATCTATGCGAATCGCGAATTTACAATTTGGTCACTGGATTTTGACGTATTTATGGACTCCCGTTTGTTGTGTCCAAAATTTCACAAATTTATGTTTTTCTCCTAAGCGCATTCCCACTCGGGGCACGTCTCAAAATAAACTGTGGATATAGTATATACCGTTAAAAGTTTCTCTAAAAAGAACATAGTCACTCAGGAGAGTCTCTTGAGTGATATAGTTTGAAAAATTAAAACTTCAGTCATTTTGTGTTTGAAGAAATGGGAAAGTTAATTGTCCGGCACTTTGTCACAGTGACGCTGCCAATCAAGCCACTTTGAAGTGCCCATACGTAGAGTGATTACAACTTTTAAAAAAATCATAACTTTTTCATTTTTTTTGTCCGATTTCGTTCAAACTTTCCTCAATCTGCTCCTTTGATATTTTTTCTGCTTTCTTTTAACGTAGTTTGCTATTAAAGGTAAAGACCAGTATTGGAAACGCCCCAATTTCAAAAAATGAAATGGAAGCTCTCATTACCAATCATGTGAAAGAATATGTTTTGACTAATACATGATGATAAAAAAATTGCCGGGAAACCGCCTACTAATTCATATATTTGGTAAATTTGTTTCTCTCATGGTCTGTGAGAGATATAGGGTAGTCCCATATACATCTTTCTGTGTATAGTGCTTGTAACTTTACGAAGAATGGGCCAAATTTCTTATCATTTTGATGATTCCAGAACCTTGCAGATGCTAGATGCTAGATGATCAACCTTTTCTGATCGATTCCACAACGTTTCTTTCACAATGCAATCGCATGACCATAACTGGTCTTTACCTTTAAGGTTGGATTTCCCTTTGAAATATTTATAACAAACAGGTCAAAATTAACCCTTTGCTAAACATTGATTCTCATTAGACGCACCTTTAGTTTCATTTCCTCTAGTGGGAAAAGGGCTGTAAGTGAAACAATGCAAAGGTTAAATTTCAACGGCAGATTGGAAAGATAATACTAATTTAGAACTTCCCTAAAAAATGGGGGG